AGGAAAAGTATCGTTTGAAAATCCGGAGCTGCAGAGCGTTGCCGATAAAATAGAAAATTTATCCAGTTCACAAAAGAAAGGATATTTCAAGCTTGAAAGGGAGAAAGATGTGCTAAGTACGGCGCTGGGTACTCCTGAGCATGGGGGAAGGGTTCAAGGTGCGTCGAGTAAGATGAGTTGGAAGGAAGGGTTCAAAAATGACCCCTACAAGAAGCGTGAAGCGTACAAGGATAAACTTAGAGACGAAGGGACTGCGGAGTTTGAAAGGCAAATGATGGATTTCTGCGTCAAGCACATGATTTTGCCTCGCCCCGAAACCAAAGAACCTGAGCCAGATTACCCCTTCGATAACCTCAAGGAGAATACACCCTGCAGATTGCACGTTCCCATTGGACGCTCCGGGAAAACTCTTGAGGCCGCTACAGCCATTGCTATCCCTGGGAGAACATACAATGAAGAGTTCATACCCGCTGTGTATGCCAAGGTGCAGCCGCAAGTGGTCCACGAAGGGTTTGAGTCCTACGACATTGACTTCCCGACTGCAGATGGTGTATCCGTACTTGGGGATGCAGTCGATCTTGTAATTCTCTGGCACAAGAATGACATATCCTTTGGATTGGGCACCGACGCCACGCAAAAACCTGTGGTGCCTAAACCGGGGTTGGGAAAACCTCCGAGGCCTCCTAAGAGGAAGGTGACTGATAAGGCGGAGGAACCAGAGATGTAAAAGGAAAATCCAGTGCCGAAAGTGCCACCGGAGATTGCATTGCCGGAGGCAGCCATGGAGATTGCACCGCCGGAGGCAGCCATGGAGATTGCACCACCGGATGTGCCCATGGAGATTACAGTGGCAGAACCAGAGGTGCAATTTGTGGCATCAGTCGGGTCAGACAAAGAAGAAGTACCAGGATTGGAATGGGACGGTACAGAGCCAGAAATATTTGAAGACCCTTCTCCTGCGAAAGACCCCGAGGTGCCACGAGTGCTTAGGAGCCACGACTCCAAGTCCAAAGATGAGAACAAGGAGAAGTTCATGGTAACCGTCTTCAGAGGGGGTAAAGAACGTGCCAAGCTCAGAGATGACGACCCCCAGAAAGCTGCTGAACTAGCCGGGCCAACATACTTCGCAACCGATGATTGCCCGGAAAAGTACGAACATGGGAAAGCACTCTTGCCGGAATGGGCACTGAAAGAAGCACCATGGGAGATGAGAAGGTTACATAACTTCTACATGGAGGCCAGCAAGAAAGGCTTAGGCAATATAACAGCTCGATCACCGGCAGATTGTTTCAGCGAAGAAGGTTACGTATGGCTAGATTTCTCATATCTCCACTCCATATATCGTCGGGATAAGATGGACGTCAACTGCGTCGGTGTTTGGTGCATGTGAGTATGAGTTTTAATTAATTAGATGAAAAATATGTACAATACAAATCCATCTGATTGTTACTAACAAACTTCTTCTGTAGGATGCAATACATGGATGCTAAGAAGAAAAAAGAACCCATCGGCTTCTTGGATCCAACTCGGATCTGCCAAACACAGCATGCCGTGACGCTAGCACCAGGGTCAAACCAGCTGAAGGGCAAGAATCCAAAAGAGATAGCAGAATACAAGAAGGGCTTGCATAAGGAGAAATTGATTACTGTCGCACAGTACATTGGACGAGCCTTCTTGCACTTTCAAAATAAGAGAGTCGTCATGGCCACTTATAATTTTAAGTAAGTCCAATACATTTATCTTGTACACATATATCTTATTTTAGCTAGTACTAACTAACTATAATGTTGTTAATATGTAGCGATCATTATATCTGTTTACTCATCCACCCTAAAGACGGAACCGTGGTAGTCTTGGACCCTCTCGATTACAGTCACAAGCAATACAAAGAATTTCTAACAATCTTACAGTAGTAAGTTATTATGACTCTTGCATTTGTATATGAATGTATTATAAATAAATATCCTCCTTACTGTGAAACGGTACGACATCCATACAGTGCATACCAATACTACAAGTTCAAGGGTGGAGAACAGACCCGAACACGGGAGAAGCTGCTAGTACGTACCTATTGGCCGGTAATACTCCACTCACTTAATGTATTCCAATTGTTTCACTAATTGCAAATTTTAACTACTTTTTTCTATAATATGTCCTGAAGTGTCACAAGCAACCGCGAGGAACGGTCCTTTGCGGGTATTATGCGTGCGAATTCCTTAGGGTTAATGGACGGTACAGGACTAACGCGGAGGATGTAAGTCTCTATACTATGTACTAGACAGCTCCACATATTTATGATACTAATATATTGATTAATTTCAATGCATGCAGTTGCCAAGATTAGAATGTCGAACAAGCTTTGACGATACAGGTATCACAAATGTCCAGCGTGATCTGTGCCACTTCATCCACCATGAGTGCTGTCATGTGAAAGGAGACTTCTTCGACCCAGAGGGTGCCCTAGCGGCAAGTGACGAATTTAAGGATCTTCGAGAGTAGAACACTGCTATGCCATAATGTAACTAGATGACGTTATTTGAAGTGACAATGTAAAAAAATATTGTAATATATATATTTTGGCAACACTTTTGAGTTATGCAATATATGTAGATTTCTTAGTACCAAATGCTTGATAATCTTCCAATATATGTACATAAAAATCTACCTGCAAGAATTTCTATTAAATAATTTAAAAGTAATTTACGGGCAAATTATTATTAAATTTCAATATTTTCTACCTATCTTCGCAGGCGAAAGTTTTTTTGTTTTCAAGCGGACGATTCCTATTTTCGCAGGCAGACCGGACTAGCCAACGTCCGCCTGCGAAAATTATCTTTGCAGGTGGACGGCCGCCCCGCCTGCGAAGATTGGAGATCTTCACAGACGTTGGCTTACAGGCGGACGGTCGCCCCGCCTGCGAAGACCCTTTTTGGCCGCTTGCGATAATGCTTTTTTTAAGTAGTATTTCAGTCAATTCCTAATTAAAAAATTTTCACTTTGACTGCCTTAAAATAGACCAAATCTAATTCGTACCCCTCACCCACATAACCGGATATGACAACTCCTCAAACTATTAAAACCAGTGCAATTTGACTCCCTTGACGGTTTTGCTGATGTGGCAGTGTTGACCTGGTGTTTGTCTCACGTGGCGCTTATGTGACATTAGAATTAAAAAATATATGTGGGACTCATCTGTCATTCACATAAAAAAATATATTGTAGGACCCACTGACTGTGGGTCCACGTGTCATCCTCTCTCCCCCTTGTCCCAGCGTGTGGGAAGGAGCTCGCCGGCCGACCAACGTTCGTGCTGGGAAGGATCTCGCTGGGAGGCCGTGCGCTAGGAAGCGTCGTCAGCTGGGCAAGCGGGAGAGGAGCTCGCTGGCCGGACGTGCACGGAGTAGGAGTCCGCGACACCATTGTGAGCGGGGTTCATCAGCCACTGCCTTTTTGTGCTTGTTCAGGGACAGCATGTCCACGCCGCGCCTGCTTTGCGGTTCCGCGTTTTCGATCCACGGGTTAGGTATATTTTTGCTAAATCCCCCTCTATCTATACACACACACACACAAATTATTAAGGAAAAGAATATATCAAAGATCTATCCGGTCGTGGTTGAACCTCTGCAAGCAGTTCATCTCCCAACATTTAGGATACATACAAACTGCATTTCGCACCGATGATGAACTGGCAGCCTTATGATTTCTGACCAGTGAGCATATGTATTTTGCGAGATCCCGCGAACTGCATTTTCAAGTTGTTTTTGGGCTGTTTAAATGTATGCAACTCGTCTGCATTTCTGGATCTCTTTCGTCCATGCAAAGGCTTTAGTTCTTTCACAAGGATAGGAAATCAGGGGGCTCCTAAAGGCTTGCTCGCGCAGCCGCGCGCGGGGCCCTCATGCCTAGCGCTAATAGCGTTGATTAGGGCTAATGACGCTAATTAGTGTTAATGGTAATTTTAGGAGTTTTTCTTAAAAAATACATAAGTAATTCAGTTAAAAGTTTTTAAAAAATAGTTCAGTTCAGTTTTCAAAACTTTCACGTCTAAATTTTTTGAAAACTTTCAACCCGAATTTAAAATTTTTCAACCCAAGGTTTGAAACTTTCAACTTAAATTTGAAAACTTTCATCTTAAAATTAAAAACGTTCAACTTAAATTTTAAAAACTTTCAAACTTAACTTTGACTCAAAATTCACGCATATTAAAAATATCAACAAAATAATCACGCGAAAAATTTTTAAAAATCGGGTAAAAAAGCTATATACACATATGATTAAAAAAATCACCCGGAGAATAGCCTGTCACACAAGGAAGCCACACGCGCGTGTACTGATTTTCACTAGCAACGTGGGTTCACATCCTCTACCATAATGGTACTATCATGGTATCTACGTGTGGGACAAGAAGGTTGAGATCCACGTACCGGTGATGATAATGACATTATGGTAGAAGATCCTCACCCTAGTTACATGTGGGACAAGAAGGTTGAGATCCACGTACCGGTGATGATAATAACATTATGGTAGAGGATCCTCACCCTAATGGCACATACGCGCGAATTATCTTTTCCGAAGAAATCAACCGTGCCAAAAAAACTGCATTGCAATGTAGTGTACCACCCTGGATCTCTTTCGGCCGTGCAAAGCAAGAGATTGTCTTCTGGGCGCAGCACAGGGCTGCAACTTACTCAGGTGAATTTTTTTTTAGGAGTGCGACTAAAAATACTAAAAATAATGATAGCATTATAAGGGAGAAAATAAAGCATTTACTGTAGTTGTAACTACTATAATAAAAACGGCAATAAGAATCAGTGTCATACAAAATGAATGTCAAACAAAATGCTGACGCTTACCATTTAAACGGCAAAACTGACTAATATTGTACCAGGAAGCAGCAAATGGTTGAGTTGCTGCAAAATTTAATCACTCCATAAAACGATGGGACCCAATTCCGCTTTTTTTTCCGGAAGAAAAAGTGACAGACCATCTCATTCCATTGCTTAAATGAAACATAAAACCTGAGTTATTTCTCAAATGAAGCGTTATAAAACTGTACAATAACATACAAGACATGTTAACATTGCGGTCTGGTACTATTTACTGTTTAGTAAAAAGTACATTTTATATATGGTTTCAACATTTTGACGTATCAAAGCTTTACAGGTTACAATTTTACCACTGCCTTCCCTCGTCTTGCTAAGAAGCAAAACTTGTTCACTCCAGTTGCGCCGGGGTACATATACTTTTGCAAAAATTCCAAATTTTTACATTATGCAAGCCAATAGCGTGGCGGGGATCACACACACCAGGGCTTTGCACTAGGATTGATCATTCCTCCAGAAACCGACCAGGCCCATAAAGATTTGCTGCAAATCTATGCTAACGTCGCAACTGACCACAGACCAGTTCTCTAAACTATTTCTCGAACATATAGATGAATCAGACATATTGCGCTCACATAATCTCTGCGAATCTTCTCACTTTGACATCAGTGCAGGGGAAGACGGCATGACATGATAAAGAAAAAAAGGATTCACTTGGATTTTCATAAGCAATTGCTTGTCCATTGTTATATGTTAGCAGTTTCCCATTTGGTGTCTAAAACAACTGGAAGAAAAGACTTGTAGAACCATCACCAAATGACCGAATATCAGCAGGCTTTACCAATGCTCTACACAGGGGGCAAGTCCGTTCTCGCTCAAACCTAAAACAGAACCAGGAAAAAGCTGTCATTTCTTGATACTTGCTCAAATTAAGGGGAAAAAAAGGAAAAGCTAAGCATTGAGGCACTTCATCTGATAAGGAATTTATGTTCATGCAACTGAATTCTCATTAGTCATTTTAGGAATATATCTTCTGCAGCATCACCAAAAGCAGTAGTCATATAAAAGGCAAGACTGTGACAAGATGCCACAGAAATATCACTCCACATCCTCTTCTCATACTATAAAATCTAATTGCCATTCTTAGATTGCTTCACGCCAATGTTAAGAATAAACATGAATATGTTGCCATATCCAACAAGATACCTTGCTCAATTCAAAACAAAGGCCCAAAGAACCAAATAAAGCATGTAAAAAAGTATAAAATAAGAAAAGAATTTACCATTCAGAGACACAGTCCTCACAGAAAATATGTTTACAGCGGAGGAGGACAGGAACATGCATCTTTTCCTGGCAGATGGCACACATATCACCAGCAGCAATTACCTGCACCAGGTTCCAGCAAAAAACAAGTTCTTTAAACAAGATAGAGTGAGAGTTCAAGGGGGTATCCTGCTACCAAGTACCAACTAGCGAATACGTGTTAAATGGACAGTTGGCTCCACAAATAAGCCTGATGGCTGAAAGCTGTATGGTTTATCGATAAAATGATAGTATCTTATTGTACTATTACAAAATCCTACAAATGCTTACGATTTATCAATAGTTATGGCATATTGCATTTTTAAGTTGAGCAACTTGCCAGTAGATGAACGTTTACCTGTTCTGCTGTCGCATAAGACCCATAATGCACATCTTTACGTGACAATGCTTTCACTGCAGCCAAGAATGACTGAACCTGGAACATACAGTCAACAATGAGAAAATAAGCATGCATGGAATGGAAAAAATATATATTTTATAGGTTCACAGCACTAATTTTGTATGTGAGCTACAGTAACTAGTAAAAGTAGTACCTTTTCAACTACTGAAGTTAACTTGAAGGTCAGGTACAGTCCAGTGGTTAAAGATGAGAAAAGACTCCCATATTCCTTGTTCAGAAAGAAACGGTACCAAACAGGAGTTGGCAACAAGGCACGATATAGGAGCAGAAGGTATTCCACAAGGGTTAGCATTTGACCCTAGCAAAACAGAAAGTTTGAGCCTCAGAAGTCAGAACCAACTACTAAGCTTGCAACTATAAAAGGATCTAAAATAAGAAATAAGCTAGAATTCAAGATAATGAGACATGCACCTTTAGAACCAAAATAAAATAACAAAGATAAAGAAAGTAACAATGGAAAAACTAGTCACTTCATGCAAAAGACCCTCATAAGTTTTTTTTCCAAAATAAGTTATATCCTAGTGTTACTTGCGAACACATGGCACATGAAGCCAACAGAACTATAGGAATACATGATGTATACTTGACTATTTGGTAGTGCATCTACTAAACTATTTTTCAAACTGTTTCAGAATTATGGAGAAAAAACTACCATTCTTAGCTAAGTATTTGGGATATAGAACCCCTTTCTAGTGGACACATTTGAAGATGTCTAAGCATTGAGCTGCTACACAGACTAATTCAGTAGATCAAAACTTAAGGGGATAAAAATAATTGTATAGTCATAGACATGCAGTTATTAAATAAAGATAGCCCAGCATAGAAATACAATATCATTCAGCATTCAGTTATTATGATTAGTTTCTAGTCAATATATACTCAGTATTGGATATGTGGAAATAAAGATAATTCAGTGTGGGAGAAAGGGTGCTGTCACAAAAGCACCCACATATACTAAGTGTTGGTACTTTTGAATTTTGATGGCTGCGATCACTTCACTAGTTTGGCTAGATCTCTACAATCTCTAACCAGCATAGTAATCACTGCATTGATTATCATTAGAAGTTAGGTAGAACCAACAACTAAAGGCAAGATGCTATAAACATGATGATAAAATCACAAAATAAATTTATGACAATTAGAAAAAAATGTCACCTGCTTACGGTAGTTACGACCTCTGCTATTCTTATAGTACATAAGTAGCATGCACTTAATGGCCATTGCTGCCTGGCGAACCATTGTATCTGCAAGTGGCATTTGGTTAGAAATGCCAACTGCAACATGAAATAAATTGTGCTAACAGATAACTTAAAATGTTTTTCCCTGCAATCCTAGAAAACATACTTCTTTAAGTAAATGAAGATAGTGCCATACAGCTAATATGAACCTTTTTTGGCTAAAACAAATCTATGTTGCCTGTGTAATTTTAGCAGTTTGAAACTATGAATTGAACACCATAAATTTTGTGCCATTCAGGCATTCAAAAATTTCTAGCACATTTAATGATCTAAGTGTACAAATAAATTTATTAAATGATTAGTTTTCATCACACATTTAACTGAAGAGCATCTTTAAATTTGCTGGGAATTCGAAAGGCTAATACAAACCGAGAAACTAATGAGTTCAACACAAAGCCTTGAATTAAAAAGCAGCAGAAAGTGAAGTAAAAAAAGGTCATTTTGAATGATTTTTCATGATATGAAAAACGAGACAAAATTGCTCATTGTACATACATTTACAAAGGGCAATAAATTTTAATCTAGCAGGTCAATAAAGGTACTTCTATGTATATGGTCAGAGTTCACTATCAGATAATGGAGAAATGCATGCGAGCAAATTCAAGAAACCCTTTAAGGAAGCATCAGTACCATTGACCATGATGATAAAAATCGCATGCCAAAATGGCGGTATTTCTTTTGGCGGAAGCATGAACAGAGGTCTGAGAAGATCATCATTCCTGTACCACCAATAGACACCAAACACATGAATCATGAAGATTACTGTAATCCCGACAAGCACAGCAATTTTTCTCTCGCCCTGCAAAAAGAGTTGGAAATATGAAAAATTTGCTATTGACAAGTATTTTAGCAATTTAACAAGTAGCTTCAACTAGTTTCACAACAAATATGGTACATAGGTTGACCTAACTGTTACTAGAGATAGGATGACTAACCTGCTACTAGATTAATTAATGGTAAATGTGATCCAGGAAAAGCTAAGAGTAGATAAAAATGTTATTCTCTTTACTACTTTCCAAACTGGGTAATAAAGTGCTGTGTAGTTCAGGAAATTCATCATTTCACAATGATGTGATGTTCACTGCATTAGTACAATGCATGATTATATTGTTATGTAGTCATTGGCATTCAAATTTATGACACCAGAAGGAAAGGTCTGGCCAGTAGTCTTCTGATTCTGTTATACTAAAATAATTTCATTGCAAAATTGGAAAGTGATGCATCAAGAAATAAGACCTTCAAAGCAGTTTGCTTCCGCAATATATCATTTGACTTGAACATTACAGCAGCAATCCAAATTGTGACAAAGAAACCTGCACAACAACCCTTCCTTTAGTGTGTATTGAAATGCTTACATGGCAATCATTGCACAAGCAAAAATAGATATGCAATTGAAAGATGGATTTATATGTTAACTCAATCCATTGACCTTTCTTGACAGGAAAAAAACAATTTGGTTGTAGTGGCAGAAATGATAGAGGGCATGCACTTTGAAAAGTAAAGGATAGTATGAATGGATAAGGCAAGATGAATATAACATCCAAGATTGTGAACTGCAAGTAATTGAAGCGGTGCATAATTGGATACAACTAGCTGCTGGAATATTAATGTATCATCATTAGGCCTTGCCAAAAAAATGGTTGGCACATAAACACATAAATTATGAGTTGATTGGTGCGGCCTCCAAAGGAATAAATGTTAAAAGCTAAGAACCTGATATGATATATGCGTCTTAATCATCATTTCAAGACCACTAGGAGATAATCATGTAGCAGAAAATTCATGTCATGGTAAACAACTAAACGCAGATATGTCATCTGATCCATAACTTAGGAGTTAGGACTGGTACCCAACCACAATATCCTCCAGATAATGTAGCACAAAGAGAAGTTCCAACCTAATATAAGAAGCCGGGCTTGAGCAAGTCCTGTTTAAAGTTAGGGCAGCTAACTAGCAATACCAAGCTATAAATATCTCCCCATTAGGTTCATCTAATAAAGCAGGCTAAAACCCACTATATGAGATAAGTCGACTATAATCAAGTGATCATATTATCCTCTAAACCATAATGATAAAAAAAATAACAAACAAAATAGTATCCCAGGAACTCAAATGGTTAACATAGATGTTAAGTTAACACATAATAATAATATAGACCAGCCTAATCACAAACATTAACTCGCCTAAGTCAAGGTGTTTTACTCACAAAATCACTTTCCTTTTTTGGTTAAACATTTGTAATAAACAATATATGGACATCAACATGAAGGAAAATCGATTTTGTTTTGGACAAGTCACACCGCTTATAATCACACAATGGCACGAGCACAAGAGAATGAGTATTAGACCTTGGAGATGCTGCCGTATGAAGACGACGAGCAGCAGCAGCGAGAATGGCAGTATCTGCTCGATCCACCTCGCGACATGGTGCACGTCATACCGCTGGTAGGCGCGGTCCCCACCCCCGTTCCCGGACGCGCCGTCCGCGCCCCCACCACTCGCCTCCGCGTCGGCGCCGCCACCCCTCCCCGCGGCAGCCGAGGCCGGGTCAACGTCCCCGGCGGCGGTCGCCTCGATCGAGTCCTCCCCCGACGAGGCCGCCCCCGCGACGCCCGCCGCGTCGGCCTCCCCGGGGCCGCCCTGGATCCGGATCGAGACCTCCCCGTCCCCAGCCGCGGCCGCGGAGAGCAGCCCATCGGCCTCCGACGACGACGACGAAGAAGACGGCGAGGACGACAGCGCCGAGGGCGGCCCCGCCTGCGGGGCGCCGGGGCCGGAGGGGACGACGCCGGAGTACTCGAGCAGCGCAGCGAGCGGGGCCTGCAGGAGGCTGGAGGCGGAGAATCTGAAGCCGTAGCGGCGGAGGCCCGACGGCGAGGCGGCCCCACCGGCGCCCGCGCCGGTCCCGGCACCCCGGCGATGATCGGAGGAGCCTCCCGCCGGTGGCTCCATCGCCGGCGGCAGCGGCGGCGGCGAAACCCTACAAGGCGGAGGCGGAGGAGGAGGAGACGAGGCCCCTGGAATGGGGAGATTCGAGAGATCCCCTTGCTTGGGTTGGTTTACTTTGCCTGCCTTCCTTTTGGTTTCTTTGGCTTTTTTTTTTCTTGCTTCTCTCGCCCCGGTGCCGGTGGTGGCCTCGGCCTGTATTTCTGTTCTTAATTCTTATGCTAGTTTTATTTTGATTTAGACCCTCTTTGTTTAGGCTTAGGGTTATTGGTTTAGTTTTTTAAGTCAGCTTATTGGCTTATATGATTTATAAGGCAGTGAATTTAATATCCTAAGTTTAGTAGTAGAGTCATACATCTAACTCATATAAGTCAAAAAAGCTTCTCCAACCTAGCTTTTGGCTTAATAGTGTAAAAGTGGCTTATGGCTTCAAAAAGGCCAAACGAAAACGCTGCTTATTTGTTTAGGCTTAGACTTTTTGACTTATAAGTTGGCTTATAAGCCTAAACAAAGAGGACCTTAGTGATTTAGAATTAGTCTTCTGGTTATATACGTAACCGTAACACATATCACTACTAAGACACATCACATGTGCATGTAACATCATGTACATGTACCGTATACGGATATTTATAACCTCTTAACATTTTCTAAGGACGAAGATCATCGGTAAATCTTCGGCCTCATGTTTAACAAGTAAAATAAAGATAAGTGACATAATAGCTAGGATATTATTAAGCAATTGCGCTATTTGCATGCTAAATGCCATTGGAAAAAAATTCAAACATTTTCATTAGACGATATCCTCAGATCATGACTAAAGAAATTTTGAATAATTATACATTTAGATTGAAATGTGCATTTGATCTCTTTTTTTAACTAGTATATGATACCCCCTCCCTCCTCATCTTTCACCCTTTTCTAATCATGATTTGATTATTCAGAGCCTATCCTTTTTCTCATCACACGTTTAACAACAATAAATACCCTACTACTCTCTCCTTCCCTAAAAAACCAACATAGTACTGGATGTGACACAGCCTACGTATGTCCAAATTCGTATTATTAAGATATGTCATATTCAGTTCTAGATTCCTTTTTTAGAGACGAATGAAGTATGCTAGAAGAGTAAATCTCAATAACCAACTCCTAATACCTCTTTAGTCTTGAATCCTAATTGGTGTTGTCCCCATCCCTTTTTTTTCTCCTAAAGTTATTTCACATTATGTATTATTGAGAAAGTAGAATGGTATTCCCTATATGCATCTAATAAAGTGTACATTAACTAGCATGAATATAAGGATATTACTGTTATGAAAATATGACTTAGGCATCCTTGTGTTTTTTAAAAAACAATAAAAGGTGATGATTTATATTGGTATCTGCATATGAATGAGTATGATATAATGGAGTGAATAAATATACGAATAAAAACTCTGTAATTTGAGTGTTATGTTTGGAAAAGAATGGACAAGAGGCAAAATTGTATATTTTTTCACCATCTATCTATGATTATATTAAGAGAGAATCCCTTATATGCCACTCGAAATTGGCCAGTTCCCTTATATACCACTTAAAATTGGCTTCTTCCTTTTATGCCACTGGTTCAAGTTTTTCCACCCTTTTATGCCACTCCCACCACTATTATGTTTGTTGACTGTTAGTCAAATGTTAGTTTTTTCTTAAATGACCAATATGCCCTCCCAACTAAAAAAAGTGTAAACTTCAAAAATTCATAACTAATTTATTTTAAATCCTTTTTGAGTGAATAAAATTTTGTCAGAACCAGTGAAAAATGCTCTTTGTATTAAAAATATTGTTGGGAAGCTTTATGTTTCATGCTTATATTAAAAATTCATTTGTTATGGTGATGGCTAAAATTGCACGTGATAAAAAAAATAATAATCAATTTTTATATGTTGTACCAACTTCTCTATCAAATGAAAAATACCTATCATTGGTTGTATACCAACTCTCAAAGGCAAATACGTCTTTTTACTATAAAGTTAACGGTCAACTGACGGTGGAGTGACGACAATGGCTTAAAAGGGACGACAAACTTAAACCGGTGGCATAGAAGGGAGGAGCCAATTTGAAGTGGCATATAAGGAACCGGTTAATTTGGAGTGGTATATAAGGGATTCTCTCTTATATTAATGGGTATGCGGTTGCACATTGTTTTGTCTAAACGACCTATGATCCAAAAATAAATCCTTGGTATTGATTCGCAAATAAACAATAAAGTTAAATTACTAAAACAATATATCACATTCTATATTCATGCAAAGTTTAAATTAACCTAAACATTTATGAGGAAATTTAGGGTATAAAGGATCAAGTCCTTTTGTCTAGCAATAATTGTTTAATTATAAAATAGTTAAGTAGAAGAGGGTTCAGGGAATGTAATGAAAGAGTAGCATCTACTTGACCGTGTCTGATCTCTAGGTTGAGATATAGAGGGTAGCCCTAGCTTGGTATGCTCAAATGGGAAAATTTTGATTAAGATGCTACAGAGATGAAGATAAGACATAATACATTCATAATTGCCTTATTCTTACATGATATCCTACTTAAGTTGATGGGGGGCTATTTGTATAACCGTACTAATTAGGAAAAGAAAAAAAAACATAAGTTGCATTTGGAGCCCTAGGAAGACTTTGCCTCAGCTTGCCTGTCTTGATCACCTCGTCTCGTAAAGCGAGCTTGGTGAGAAACATACACACTCCTAATAAAACGTCTACCATGAATGTGAAATAGCATCATAGTTGCTAGATGAATAAAACGACTGCTCTTTTAAAGCCAATTTATCCATGCCTTTAAGAAAAATTCCATGACCTCTCATCGATACAAATTCTGAGTAGGCATATTACGCCGTTGTATGGAACATCATAAATCACATGAACTTTATAGGCATAAAAATTGTGAGCGCTTCAAGTAGGTTTTTCTTGCCTTACATGCTTGACATATCTACCACGATAAAAGCGTTCGCTTGTATGGGTTCCTTGTCAATTGTCAACATAGGTGATAACAAAGTGCAAACCCTTTTCATATAATTTTCTAAAATGCTCTAGGCTTAATGAAATATTTTCCTAATGCCTTCAGAAATGAAAAGCATCGCCTAACATTATTCTCTACCATTAGTTGATTAAGACCTTGTCGAGCGAGCATGCCAAGATATATCCTCTCAGTTAACATGCAAGCCAGAGCATGACATTACTAACATGAGAGCAGAGACAATGGATGAAACCAAATAGAGTGGGCATGACAATGGCCAAGATCTTGAAAGGTGGTATGATGACTAGAATATTGAAATATGGTATAATGACCAAGAGTGGAGGCCGAACGACCTTCTTGATGAAATATTGTTATGAACCAAAAGACTCATTTCTTGGTAAAAGCCGCTCTATTTGTCCGCAATTAGCAAGGTTACAAAAGTGCTCAGGAAGCAACATGGGGCTAACATGTGGCTGCCATGTTTTAGCAGCATTAGAACCCTTAGATCTTAAATCAACATTTATAATGGTAAAAAGAAAAGTTGTGTGTGAAAGTCCAAATAATTTCATTAAAGTCTAGGTCATTGCATCAAAACCAATGCATATGGCTAAATAATTATAGTATATGTCCTAATTTTCACCCAGAGGTTATGGGATATCATCCTAAACTTTTATGATATTTGTACCTTTTCCTTGTTAAATTCTTTGTGAAATTTCCTCCATTACGCTAAACATCACCACATTATGTTGTGATTGTCAAATTGTTTATTTGGATCGGGGTCTATTAAATACTGTGACACTGAAATAAGTCTGCTATGGAAATTCAATATACTGCTGCAACGATTCACGGTAACACTTTCATATGCCTGGTCTATTTTACAATTCACATTACTGTCCATCACTCCATCTCATGTTCTCTGTCTTCACATCACCATAAAAATTCCAAACTTTGCTTGTCCTAGTGCAGTGTCCTGGGTTCTCCCTTAAAACTGGAATGAAGTATCAAGTACTATGAGTTGGAGAAACTTTTGGAATTATGTTGCTTCAGTACATGGTCCTTCATGCAACTTTTGGAGGTACGAAGAAGCTGTTATTTATTATAAACAGTAAAACACGGGATATGCCATAAACACGGTTGCTAGATTTGAGCTTGAACTAGAAGAAAAGCTGATCAGTTGCTACGGTTAATGAGTTTAATCTCCTGCAAACTAAATGGTTTTTATCCACCAGAATGAGTTCAGATGTACAGTTTGTCCATTTTACCCTAAAGTAGATATCCATCAATCAATAAAGCAGATCTTACAATAACTTTGCCAGTAATCCAGTATAGTACCACCTGGCACCATAAAAAGTTGAGTAAACCAGAACTTGCACACCACCTTTTTTTTCTTTCAAGGTTGGCAACAATCCACGGTTTCAGGACGAACAGGTGAAAAGACAAAAATTAAACCGGTATATATTCCATGCCTATTTCCCTTTGATTTGTTCATACAAGGGAATTCCTCAACCTGAACGGTAATAATTTTTCCATTCCTGTATCATCATTACACTGATATTACATGTTCTACAACTGTACCAGCAAAGAAAAGAAAGGTTATGTGACTGCTTCTGGAGCTGAGTTGCAGTAGGGAGTGTGCAAGCAAATGAATCTGGTCGACATCAGGCATACAGAGGCAAAGGCGAAACCTATCAAAAGCCCACAGATGCTCTTCCGCATGTCCAACCTTAGCGAGCGTTTGAAGACTCGGCCAAAGCTTGGAATCAAAGCACCACAGGCAATGACCATCCAGTAGTCTAGTCCACTGTAGTCAATCTTCGCGAGGATTGCACTGATGGCAGCGCTTGGCCCTGCAAAGCCGGTCAAAGCAGCGGCTGCCAAGGCTGCCCGCCAACTATCAGTGGCACCATATATGCAGCTCGCAACAGCAGCACCTCGTGGTAGACCATGAAGGGAAACTGGAAGAACCATGTAGCGCCCTAGACCATAAGCCTTGCGCGCAGCCACACCAAGTTGAAGACCTTCAGCATATGCGTGAAGGAAGACAGAACCGCAAGCAAGGAGCGATTGCAGTGTGAGGACACTAAGTGAGAGGCCTGAGGATGATGTAATTACATTAACAGAAGATTTCTTGCGGTTAACTAGCTGAAGGATGTTTGATGTGGCGACATGGTAAATGAGAGAACCTCCAATTAGGAGGAATAAGGTGGTAAATAGACCCATCTTCGATGACATTAGAAGTTGTAAAGGTCTCCATGCTGCGAGACGGAAGGCTATGCCTGATGCTACACCAGTCAAAAGAGGGTGTGGCATGCTGAAAGTAAGAGAGAATGCAACAAGTACAATTCCTCCAAAAAGAGGACCTAGTCCAAATACAAGTGATACCAAAAAGCCTGCTGTATCTTCTGAGCTGCAGATCAGAAGAAATTAATAACATCAATCAGAAATTCAAAGTACCCACATAGTACTCCGGAATTGTATAGAGGAAACTTACTTGTGGCCATCAGTAAATCCCTGAAGCACTGTACCCAATGTTTCCATGAAAGCAACAGCAAGCGTTCCGGCAGAAGCAACTTGAGATGGAGCAGCTTCCTGCATGAAAAGGAAAAGATGAGCAAAACTGCATTTACAAATCAATGGAACAGAAGATTCAGCCATTAACAGATCTTCTAACTAAATGATTAGAGTTCACCTTAAAAGCATCAGGAAGAACCTCAGCAATTACAATCCATATCATGCATCCAGCAGCAAAACCAGTACAAAAGGGAAGCACCTTTTGAAATGCATCGGCACAAAGGAATGCAGGGACAGCAACAATTGGCTGTATTAACCAAGAAAAATGAACACATGGTCAGAGTAGTGTGGAAGGCAAAAGAATGTCAGCACCAAAATGTAGCTTGAAACCAAGTTGGTATGCTGTTGCATACAAGTAGACAAACATTTCGCTCACAATGAAATACTGACAGGAAGTTGCACTATTGGCAAGTAAAAGGAAAATAATAGTGGCAATCCCCATTAAGGGCTTGTTCGGTTGGGCCGTTCTCGGCCGGGATCGGAGCCCAATCCCCGTGGAAAATCCCGGCGTGGAAAGGATACCGGCCCACGCAAGTATAGGCGTTCGGTTAAGCCCAGGCGAGATTTTATCCCGGCCCACCCCGGTGTTTTCCCCTCGTCATAGGCCGGGAAATATTCAGCTTCTCTGGTGGCGAGGAAAAAAATCCTCTCGACGCAGCGACACAAAGAGAGGGGGCGCTGCAGCGGGGACAGCTGCACAGCGCAGCGCGACTCCGACGCGACGGCGACGGCACGCTCTCTCCTCCGGCAGTTGACTCCTCCGGTGGCCACCTTCTCCCCGGTGAGTTCCTTCACTTCCTATCTCCCCTAGCCTCCTCTTCTAGTGTTAGGGTTTCTTGCGCCCGTGGCCTCGTGCTACTGCGGCGGCGCACGACGGTGGCAGGCATGGCGGGGGACGCCGCAGCATCACACCCCCTCACCATGGCGCCACTGAAGCTCTAAGCGCTATGGCAAGGAGAAGCAGGAAGACATGGATCTGTTCTTTGTTCCTCACAAGGTTTCTTGATTTATTCTTCTTTCTCCCTTGATTTGTTCTGAGTAATATTCCTAACTTAGTCTGAAGCTCTGATCATGTCCTTCCTGGATCTGATCCTCTGTTTGTAGTGCCCTAGTGAGAATATGCTGATTCTCCTGGTAGTTGAGTAGTTGAAAGACCACGTTTTCTGATTCTTATTGTGAGTTGTTTTAAATTTGTACATAAAGGTTATGAAAATGGTTTATTCTAAAAATTAGTTGGCAGGTAATAGTAATGCCACAAAAACATGCAGTGCGTAATAATATTGAGGCATCAGAAGTGAATGCTGTTCATTTTTCAGAAATACTAGACAACTGTTGTTCATCAGAAGTGATTCCAACAAGTTGTCTGCTCTTGTAATCTCACCCATACTTGACAGTGCCCATAATACAAGTAGATCAATGAGCCATTCCACATGCCATATTTTCTGAACAAAGTACAAAGTTCAAATTGAAGTAGTAAGAAAAATGAGTCATGTGCAGCTTTAGTTCAGGCCTGTAAAAAGCTCTTGGCAGTCGGCAGAATACAACTTACTTAAACTGAACTATTTTGGTACATGGTTCAAATGGTCTAAAAATTTTCCTAGGTTGGTCCATTTTTAGTAGATCTTTTTTAGAACCATCTAATGAAGAAATTCTGGATGTAAAACATGATTTTTGCAGCTATTGCTTGCTTAATCTGCAGACTACTGATTTTTGCTTCTACTGTAGCTACTATTGAATTCAGTTTTTTGCTTGCTCAATCTTATATGTGTCCTAATTTCATTTTGATATCTGAAGCACTGCTAGCAGTAGTCTCATATGCATGTCCATGTTTCTAGCACTGCTAGCTATTAGGCAAAGCACACAATACAGCTTACAAACAATCACTTGTCAAACTGAAAACTTGGTAAAAATGTTGCCCAGGATCAATAGTTGGCTGGTTTCAGGAAATTTGAGACAATTGCTCACTGCACGAAAGCATTGCCTAAATTATTGCATTTTACAACTGAAAACTGAAGGAAACTTCTTTCTTCTGTACAGGCTTTGGGAGGAAGTCTGAGAGGATGGTAGTTCAGATACAGAGTGAATGAGCAGACATGTACAAGATGATGGCTTTTTGCAGGAGCAACAAATGTTGATCTCTGAACCATTGTATATTGCTGATGTAACCATTTGGTCTAGGAGTCCTGGTGTGGCAGCTCACATTTATTTTTATAGCTCAAGTGAATCATGACATAGTTTCATCTTTTTCCTTTTTTATTGTCAAATTTCACTTCTATGACTGTATTTAGTTGTCTCTGTATTGTCAAGTGACCTCAAGCTTTGTTGGGTGATGCCTCCTTGCCTTAAACCGGATACAGGCCTTGATGATACTGCAATATTTTTGTTTTAATGATTAATCAATGTGGTTTTCGCGTAATTGATGAGGTTACTGCAATATTTTTTTACTGAAGTGTAATTTCATTCATGTTGCACTTTTCACTTATACAAAAATATCGGTTTGCAATATTTTTTTGCTATTCTAAACTGCCAACCTGAAAATCAATTTTGCTATTCTAAACTCAATGGACAGCGTGCAACGTTGAAGCAGGAAAGCACCAGTCCTTCTGTTGTTGCTGTTGCCTATTGCTGCCTTGACACGGGATTTAAGCAGGCGCACCAAGCCAAAACCGAACAAACGTTTTGAAGACAGGGATTAGGAAAATCAAGGGAATTCATCCTACAGGGATTAAGTGACATGGGAGGGATCCACTCAATCCCTCCCTGGATAGGTTCCCCTTGGGGGTTTAATCCCAAGGAACCGAACATAGCCTAAGTGATTATCTATGGCTTTGTTATTTTCCACAATATGGTCGTGATATTTCATTTAACACTTGAGATCCTTTGTGATGCGCCAATATTATCTCTAATTTTGCTTCTTTGTGATGTTACTGAGCTAAATTTCCTAAAATCTACAGAAGTATGCATAACGAGCTAGTGATAAGTTTGATGGCTTCTCACAAGTTTACAACCTCCCATTTTCAATTAGATGACACTTTAGAATGCGTGCAATCAAATCTCAAACTCTTAATTCAATGATATATGCAAAAACATTAAGATTTAATATGTTAAAATGACATTAATAGATTTGTCACAAAAAAGTACTTTCATGTAGTTATTTTTAAAATAATTCTCATGCATATATGATTTGAAAAGGCAACAATCAGACATGTGTATTGGAGAAGTGTTGATGCCCTGAACTGCAACTGAAAAAGAATGGAAGGAGCGGTAGAGAGGCATTCAGCAAAAGTTTCTAAGTCTTAAATGCTGATTTTACTCGAACAAATGTTAGGACCTTGGAGATGGCCATGTTTTCTTATTTATCAGGTTAGGGCGTTTAAGTCCTAGCATGTCCAGCTTCACAGATGGCCACCAAACATAAATGAGGAACTACCAGATATGCAAGCAAGATAGGAAATTGTGAAGAGTATGCCACCACAAAGAATGCTCCCTTCCCTTGCTACCATTATTATAATTGCACTAATAAGTAACGATCATAGCAATGGAAGAATTCCAATTTAAAAAATCAGTGGACAAAGATCATCATATATTATTCATAAAAGTAACTCCATTTCACAAATGCGCATGCATGCACCAATGTGCTATGCTGCACAAAAGAAACATGAGTAAATTACATTGGTGGTACACGAACTTGTCAGGTGGGTGCAAACTAATGCATAAACTTGTACAATGTTTGTGTTGGTGCATGAACTTGTCTGGTGCGTGCAAACCAAGGCCAAAAGGACACCATAAGGCTAATCTCATCGATTTAAGTGGTGATTAGGATGCGATGTAAACATGCAAGTGAGAAGACGCAATATAGACATATATATGTTCAATAAAAGGTAAAATAAGGCATGATTGTTGTTAGAGAAAGACATAAAAAACCTGAGTAATGATGCAAGGGTGTAAACAAAAAGAAGGTTAATGTAGGAACCGAGTTTATAAATATAGCATATCTCATACCCATCTCATATGTGCATATCACGTCCTAATCAACGTCCAACTTGGTAAAATTAGCCTTGCTATGTTATTTTGGCCTTGGTTCACAACCACCAGGCAAGTCCGTACACCAAAACGAGCATTTTACAAGTTTATGCACTAGATTGCACTCACCTAACAAATTCGTGTACCGCCAATGCAATTTACTGAAAGAATAGCACATGTACACACAGACACAAAAGTGAAATAGTATAGTAACTAAATTTATAGAAAAGGAAATTCAGATTGTAGCCCCTTTGCAAAAGGAAAAAAACTGATTTCACTTTTTCTGGCTACAAAACATGAACCACTATAAGTCTATAACTAAAAAATAGAGAACTCTTCATGTTGACTCAAGAACAAGGACATTTATCAGGTAACTCATATTTCAGTTCAAGGATAGAGCAAGTGCACCTGTGGTAAAGATGTTATGATACTCCATATCATTGCCTTTTGTGGGGATACACCCCTGGATGATAGCAACATGCTTACAGCTAAGCCTTCAGGTATGTTGTGTACAGCAATGGCTATAGTAACTAAAAGACCTTGAGAGAATCCTTTTGAGCCAGCAAAGGAAACACCCACACCAGAGCCCTCCCCAAAAGAATGGAGTGTCATTATTCCGACAACAAGAATAACTTTACTTGCATCTGCACCTTTTATATCGAGCATGCTTACTTCTCCATATTGCTCAAGAAACTGTGTAAAATGAAATAATACAAAATATCTAAGTAAGAGATAAATAACAAAAATACATGTAAAGAAATATATTGACGACAACCCAAAACACAACCATCAAACCAAACTGGTACGATGGTGAATGCACTTAATATGCAAGTACAATAGTGAATGCACTTTCAACATGTAATATTGAATATTGCACGCCCTCAATTTATTAGAATCTGATTCTTGGATTCAGGAGTCAGGAATAAGTAGGTTAAATGACAACGAAATTATGAGTATGCCAACATATATTAGGACAGAGGAAAACCCTTTTGAATGCCAGTGTTCTAACATAGAAGCTACCACGAACCACAACAATATGTGTATAAGTGAATTGCAATCTTAATTATGTTAATGTATTGATATGTACATTGTACATGCCATTTAAATGAACATATGAACTGAATGGGTCTTTATGACATCCATGACTAGCTCCGTCAAGTTTAAATACATTTGTACATGATTTGATATTTGTAGATTAGTGAAAATGCTAATGTACTAAATAGTACTCCATAAGTGATATCACAGAAAACTGAAGAGAATGAAACAGGAAGTACCTTCTTGCAAAGCCAGATGAAAAACCCTCCGCTCAAAATCCCAAACACAACCCAGCTCCCACTGCCATACATTTGCCCTTCCTGCACAAGATCAAAGCTCGCCGCTAACATCACCCCTGCCGCGAGTCCATTGCAAAGTCCCGCCCACTGGGCCTCTAGCTCCAGGAAAAAGAATGGCAGAGCACCCAAACCGGTGGCAGCGGCCATTGCAAGCGTCGACCACGCGACCGTAGACACCGGCACCTTCCCGCTCTTGAACCCATCCTGCCCGCCTGCGCCCTCAAGCTTCCTATCAGGCGCTTCCTGCACGACGCGCACAACGCCAACCTCTGTCTCAGCGACCGCTGAGACATCGCGGACAAGGACAAAGAGCAGGAAGAATAGGACCACTCCAACTCTTGAGTCCATGTTCACTCTAATGGAAGGCACTCATTCAGATTCAGAGATTCCCATGCCCCGGTCCAATCAATGCAACACGGTCAGCATCGGCAAGAATCATGAAGCAAAGCAATCGTCTCGGTCCAGCAAAACAGACCAGCAGTTCACGATTCCTGCATGGAGAGCTGCTCCAGCACTGCGACAGAAAGGAGCACAAACACACACATTTAGCACGATTCTCCGCACCAATTAGGAAGGAATACAACAGAACACGCAAGCTAACACAAAAAGAACGCATAGCTACTTCCGTCTTTTTCCCCCACCTCCCCGTACGCAACGAGCTAACGACAGCAACAAGGAAAGATCCAACCCGACATCCCCCGCCCCAATCCCTCTGGGGTGAGACATCCGACGACCCAACCCCAAGGAGGATCCCTCCGCAGAGGAAACCCCAATGACTGGAGCACGAGAAGACTGACCTCGATTCGATATACCGTCGCCGGCAGGCCGACGGTGAGGGGGGAGAGGGAGAGGGGCGGAGGAGGGGCCCGATTGGGATTCTCTCCTGTGGAGATCTAACTCGCGCTGAGAAGGAGGAGGAGGAGGAAAGCAAAGCAGGGTCGTCGGTGATATAGGCGGCGACGGGGGCGAGGACGGGGGGCGCGGCCGTGCGGGGCGGCGCACACGGATTTTGGGTGTGGGGGTGGGGGCGGGTTTCGTTTTGTCGCCGAAACCGTCACGGGCGGAGGGGAGAATTGTATATGTGCCACTGTTAAAAGCTGGTTTCGCTCGCTTACATTTTCCATAAAAATAACTTTTTCTCGGACCGTTTTGCCCCTGACCAAATCTCAACTAAAAAAACCAAAAAAAATGATAAGATTTGATCGATGGGAACCCCCAGTTCAGGTCTCCATATAGTTCTTCCACATTGCCAACTTCAGAAGAACGAAAGTATAAATTTACATCGTCGGAGACAAGATCGATCCAACAAAAAAGAGAGACCAAAAGAAAAGCAAAACACAAATAAAACAAAACCAAATCTACAGCGAAACGATCGGAGCAAAAGAATCGAACTTTTCGACGGGATGAGCATAGCAGGTCGAGGAGATCGATTGGAAGGATGAGAGAGAGAGCCTTCCATGGCGGCGGAGTTCACTGGGTGGTGGAGAGGAGAGGCGGCGCGGTGGGAGAAGCTGCGCCGGCGAGGTGGGGAAGAAGAGCGGCGGCCGACGTGGGGGAAGACGGCGGCGCGCTAGCTAGTGGATGCGGCGGCGCGCCAGCCGGGCGCCGGCGTCGTCGCCATCTGTTCTTCCTCTCCTCGATCTGTGTCTTCACGCCTGGAACAGACGAGAGAACGATACTGGTAGAGATGTTGATTTGGTCCAGGGGCAAAACGGTCCGAGAAAAAAATATTTTGATGAAAAAGGCCCAAGAAAAAAATATTTTGATGAAAAATGTTTTGCAATTGCAACAAACGGGAAAAATGGCATTCTAGCGAACGCCCACATCTTAACAGTGGCATTAGAGCGAATCCCATTTTAGGGATGGCATTCGAGCGAAGCCAGTTTTTAACAGTGGCATATATGCAAATTCCTCGGGGGAGGGAGGGTGGAGTCACGAGATCTTGTCTGGCGTGGTTACGAGAAGTCCATCGTGCCATGTCATATGGTGTGCGGGTGCTGGTGCGCGTCCCGGTTGCAGCAACATATATACGATCTGGGCTCGAAGCAGTGGAACTGGGAAGTGTAGGTAGGCAGCGGCAACGCGGTCAGATTGCAAATCTTTTTTTTCCATAAGCTAAAAATAGGAAACAAATTAAATAAATAATTATGTTCTAACCATATTTAAAAGCATAAGATATTCTATATCCTTCGTAGTGTTAACCTATTACTATATTAATGAGAATACTAGCCGCTAATAACGTTAGAGTGCATACTCCTACTAAACAAGAGTATGCATCGCCGCCAAAGACTTTTCGCAAGACGACTTATCGAGTTCTTCCCCATCGATCGAAAAAGAAGTTATTCTTTAGACTACTGGGACAAAGAATCTGCTCTAACACAAACGGTTACGAAACCTGATCGATTATGGGGCATGCAACCACGTATTTGATAAGCGCTAGACTTTAACAAGATATACATTAAGAAGCATTTGACTCTCACGTAAATAAAATAAAAACATTTGACTCTATTACTGCTAGGCCACACGTGCAGTTGGGGCTAACGGAGGTTTTTAATAGAAATTTAAATTGTGACGAGGTGGCACTGTTCCAATTCCCTCAAATTATAGCGGCACATAGCCGATATCATGAATAGTAGTGATATTTTTTCAAATCAGCAAAATTGCATGGCATGGATCCAATTAACCCTTTGTAAAAGTAGCCCTCGATATTTCTAATCTATAGTCCAATGTTTGTGTAAAATAAGTGAATACCATATATTTAAATAAGCAAACAAGTGATTCTAACATATTTAATAAAAAAATGTATTTTTGTTTATAACATATTATAATATAGCATTTTCTTTTACCCATAGCAAAGCATGAGCATTTTACTAGTACTCAAATATATGTGAGTAACAACCAATCCATTGATGAATGGACTATTGAACTCTCCACCCCCTCTTTTGAGGGTTGATGTTCATGCAAGTGAAACCTATTGTAGCCACATCATCAACGTCATTCCCTACCCAAAAAGATAGTTATCTGTCACCGAAAGATCCAACATATCATAAATGATACTCATATTTAACAGTTTATTACCATATGTTAATCTAACATACAACATCCCATCCTATCCTATAGTTCACACCCTTATGCTAGTTAAAAAAAACATCCCAAATATCACCCTAAGCCTCGCTCTTGGTTTGCTCGATTGAACCACTGGCTCAACCCGGTTCAACTAAAATGAGATATGTACTAAAATCACTAACACATACATGGCCTAGTGGTGGAAGCATGCCTCCAGAGGGAGGTTGGGGGGTTCGATACCTGACACGTGCCTCCTTGGACAGCTATACGACTCTTCCTCCCAATAAGTGGTATAATAGTCCGGTTTTACCCGGTTTTCTGTGGATCCGATTGCACACTGATCTTTTAGTTGGATCAGACCTGCCGGTTTAATCAGTGGTCTAATAGTCCAGTTTTACCCAGTTTCTGTGGATCCGATTGCACACCGATCTTTTAGTTGGATCAAACCTGCCAATGGTCGCCTCATAGGGTTTGATTGTGTTTATTTTCTTTGGTAGATTCGAAGTGAAAAAGATGCTCAACACGATCAAGGTCCATTTTTTTTGAAAGATGTGTCTAGAGTCGTATTCATCAATAGAAATCATATAACATATGTAAAAGAGAAAAATAACACGTGAATAATGATAAGTGAAGAGAAATATCAAATAAATATGAGTTAGGAGGACCTATTTGTAACCAATCGTTTTATAGGGGAATCTCATACTTTGGGAAGCAGATCGTCTGACGTTGGGCGGCCAATGTCAGAGAGACGTCGGGCGTCGATCCATCGTCCGATCGACATCTCGCAGTGCTGCTGCTTCCTTCGTTCCGTATCGCACGAGCGCAACGAATAAGGCGGTCAAACAGGATCGCAGTCAGCCCACGCCAGTGAAAATGGCCCACAAGCATCCTCATTGCCGTGTGCCGCCGCCGTTCATTGCTCTGTTTCTGGAGGGAAAAAAGGGCACCAATATACTCGGATGGAGGGAAAAAAAAGACCTTTCGGCTGCTGTTCTTATGGCGATGAAGATGGTGAATGAACAACAAGAAGCTTTTCTGCACTTAATCATAAAACTTCAGGGCTTTTGAAGCTTTTCTGGGCTAGGCAGCAGTGGTCACCCTTTCTCCTGTTTTTGTGCGGCTCTTGGCATTCCTCCGACGTGGGTGGTGGTGAAGAGCTTGGCGCCGCCGCCGCCACCGTAGAAGCCGTCGTTGTCGAGGACGCCGATGCCTAGAAGCTCTCACGTGGGGGAGGACATGGGGCCGAGGGCTAGAGAGGAGGGCGACGTCGAAGGAGTCTTCCTCGGTGGTCCGCTCCTCCCACACCCGTGTCGAGGAAGGCGGCGAGCCTCAACGGAGCGGCGGGCAGCCATGCTGGGATTGGTTTTTCTTTTCTTTTTTTTTGTACGACAGTGGACGAGCAGTCTCGTTCGTTTTTCTCCCTCTTCTCCCTCCACGGTTGCTTGTAAATAGGCTGAATGGGTCGTCCTCGCTGCGCTCGTGCGATGCGGAACGAAGGAAGCAACAACGCCGCGAGATGCCGATCGGACGATGGATCGACGCCCGACGTCCCTCTGTTGGCCGCCCAACGTCAGACGATCTGCTTCCCATACTTTGATATCTTGGGCGGTTTTTGCAATTTTTGCTTTTTTTTTAGGAAAAAGTGCATCGAAGGTCCCTCAACTTGTCGTCGGATTACAAAATCGTCCCCGAACCACAAAACCAGATATAAGTCATCCCTCAACTTACAAAACCGACTCACTGTAGGTCCTCAGGCGGTTTTGACCTTGGTTTTATCCGATGTGGCAACTGAGTCAGCGTGAGACCCACGTGGGCCCCATATGTCAGGTTGACCACGTCATCACTTTCTCTCTCTTTTTTCCCTCTTCTCTCCCTTCCTCCTCTCTCTCACTTTTTCTTCTTAGTCCGGGCAAGCCGGCGCAGCGAGGGCGCCAGGCAGGAGAGGAGGATGTCGGGAGGCCGGCGACCGGCGGCGGCCGCGACGACGTGAGAGCAGGAGGGCCTCCCCCCACGCCGCCCTCGCCGCTGCAGCCGATAGTGCGGACGCCAGATCTACGTCCATGGATGACGACGGTGGCTTCCTCGCGCTCCTAGTCGGCGGCATCCGCGTCCGCCTCGTCCTCCCGCGCCTGCCCTCCCACGCCGCCAGCCTCCGTCGTCTTTCCACGTGCGGCCATGGATGACGACGGCGACGACCTCCCTCTCCCCGTTGGCGCCATCCGCCTCCGCCTCGTCCTCCCGCGCCTGCCCTCCCACGCCGCCGGAGCAGGAGGGTCTCCCCCACGCGTGGAGGCCAAGGACTCCCTGACCATCGTCGCGCGGTAGTCGCCAGTCATTGATCTAGTGCCCCGTCCGCGGCAACCTTGAGGAGCTGTCATCGACCATGATTGATGCACCGACTGATCCTGCAGGGTGCCGTGCGCTTGGGTTCAACATGATCATGTCCTTCCTCATCGCTCTGGTCGTGAACGTGTCCATGAGCTACCTGCTACCCCACGCATCGATGAGATCAACGACGACGTAAAGCTAGCTACCGCGCCGCCATCAGCGTCTGCGCCTCTCTCGACCCGCCCACGCGTGGCTACTCCCACCGCCGCCCGCGCCTACTTCCACCTCCTCACCCATCGTCGTGGCGCCTGCCTGCGCCCAGCACGCCGCCGCCGCCGCGTCGCTACGCGGCCCACGCCACCCCGCTGCCCGTTTCCTGCCTCGCCCCGCCGGCCGACCCGCACGAGGGGATTGGGGAAGCCGGCGAGCTTGCGCCGCCCTGAGCACACGGCCACCACCCGGGAGCCGCCGGCTGCACCACCCTCCGGCCGCGCGCGCTGCTGTGGGTGGTAGCCTGTCACGCCCTGAAGTTCCCCTTTCCAGCTTTAAAATTTGTTAAATAAATTGCCTAAAGAAATTGTTGAATTAACCTAGAGTTGAATCCTTAACTAATAAATGCATTTAATAATCAAATTCGGCGTGGTGGAATTTTTCTTGAGTTCCCCATGCTCCAATACATTAACAAGATTTTTAGTGGGATTTTCAGAGCTCTCGAAATAATTTTAACCAATTAAAATAAGCAAACTGCAATCTTTAAATCCCAGGGAAAATCTTTTCCTCCTTTTCTTTTTCTTTTCCCTCCTTTTCCTCTTCTTGGGCCGTCGGCCCAGTCCACCCCGCCACCGCGCGCGCCCTCCTCCTTGTGGGCCGGCCCAAGCCGCCCCTCCCTCTCTCCTCGGGACGCCGACAGGTGGGCCCCACCTGTCGGGGTCATCCCCTTCCTCCGGCCGCCCGCCCTACGTCGGCAACCGCCACCGAAACCGCCGCGCCCACCTCCGCCGCTCCTCCCGCGCCCACGCCGCGTCGCCCCACGCGTCTTCCCCGCGACGCCGCCCTCTCCCCGCGTCTCCCGGCCCGCGCGTGCACCCGAAAAGGGGCGGGATTCGCATTTTGAATCCCCACATTTCCTTTCTCTCCTCCCCACGTCGCCGGCGAAATCGGAGGTCCTCCCGGCCACGTCCGCCTCCCCCTCCGCCTATAAAACGTTCCCCGTGCCCTCCTCTTCCCCTTTCCGCTCTCGCCGCTCCCTCCCGTGACTCCTACTGAGCTCGCGCCGCTCGCCGCCGCGCCGCCGCTCGCCGCCGCCTCCAGCTGCGCGCCGCCGCCACTGGAGCCGCCACCGCGCCAAGCCGCCGCCGCCGTTAGCTTCACCGCCGCTTGGAGCACCTCGGTCACCGCCTCACATCGCCCGAACCCCTCGGGAGCTCCGGTTTCCTTGCACGTCGGTGAGCCCCTCCATTCCCTTCAACTCCGGCCGGCCATTTTTCTCGCCGCGGGTTTCCTCCAATCCCCTAACCCCTCTCCTCTCCCTCCTTAGGTGCCGCCGCCGCCCGTCCGCCCCTCCTCGTCGCCAGGTCGTCGCCGCCACCTTCATCCCCGCTCCGGTCGCCGCCCTCCGGTGAGGAGCCCCTCTCCTCCCTCCTTCCCACTTTTCCCCGCTCGCGCCGCCGCTCTCCGCGCGCTTGCCATCACCTTCAGCCGCCACTGTCGACCTGTGCACCATCCGTCGCCGCCACTCGCGCCGCCGCTTGCCGTCGCCGGTGGTCGCGTGCGCCGCCGCCGCACCCCATGGCCGGTCGGCCGGCTTTGTGCCGAGCTGAGCCGTGCCAGGCCGCCGCCCGCACCGTCCGATCGGCCCCGGGCCGATCTGGGCCGTCGGTCCCGTGGACCGGCGGTGGACCACCCGCGTGGTCCTAGTCCACGGTGGACCGGCCCCTTGAGCCACTGCCAAGTGGGGCCCGCATGTCGGCGCCCCCTCCCTTGCTGACGTCAGCCCTGGGGCAATATTGCGCAATAAATATATTAAGGCTTTTCTTTAATAGTAAAAACACAGAGAATCTTCTAAAAATCATAACTAATTCATTCGAGCTCCGATTAAGTCCATTCAAGTATCAGTAAATTCATAAAAATGCACAGAATCTATTAAAAATGGTTTTGTTTCCTCTTTCAGTAGTCTTATAGCCTGTTTTGCTTGTGTGCTTTGTCTGTCGTGTATATTTCGGCCGTTTCGTCGATCCACGGTTTCTCGAAGAAGTTGCTGTGGTCTCATCAGTGCGAAAGCAAGGCTAGTCATACATTACAATTGATCATATTGTACCCAATTTACAAATGTCCCGCATTTCTATTAAATATTGCATTGTTTTACAATATCATGTGGGATGGGTCCTATTACTCAGCTATATGTTGTTTCCCTTACGCTATTGATAACTTGGGTATTAAAATGACTAGATGTTGGTTTAGGAGATGCTTAGCCATGCTTAGTTCAACTAGTGCACAAAAGGGGATCACATTAAAGCATAGACTTTGATTATTGGCATAGCTTTGGTTTAGTGCCACCGTAATGGTGTTGGTTAATTAAAATACACTACATGGTGGGCTGTGGGTGCATGGTTTTGTTAGTCGTGCCCATGGCGATTAAGGACCGGTTCGCGGGATGCCCTGGAAGAACTTACCGTACTTACCACAAGCCAGCGTGGGCAACGGCTGGGCTTGTAGTGTAGCTTTTCTCTAGTCGACGTACCCAGGCGAGGGTGGGCGTGATGGAGTTGGGTCGGCCGGGGTGTCCGGTTGATCGGCTTCCGGATTCACCGCGGCACGAAAGGGGGGCTGCCCGTTGCCTGCTGGGGACGGGGGTGAACCCTAAGGTGTGGTGCTATCGGTTAGAGGGGGTTATGCGAAGGGTCCTGTCACGGCCTCTTTCCGGTATGTCGTGGTGGCATGTCGGCGCACGGGAACGTGTCGTGGGGCTGTGTCTTGTGGGTACAGTTGTACACCTCTGATCAGAGTAAAACTATTCGAATAGCCGTGCCCGCGGTTATGGGCGGTCGACCAGATTCACCGTGATTAGTCTCACCCCTAGTTAGCTTATGGAACTGGTTAGTTCAGGAGGTGGTTTGGGCCTGTTGCAACGTGGGTAGCGTTGGACAGTGATTGGTTAATATTGATAAATCACTACAGCTGTTTTACTGCTTTCAACTACTGCTTTTAAATGCTAGCTTTATGCAAATGAGCCTTTAGCCTCCTTTGGATATATCCTGCATCATACCTCCTCTCCCGGTATGACTTGCTGAGTACAGTGGGTAGTACTCAGCCTTGCTCTTTTTCCCCCACACCAGAGCTGAAGATCTTCCTAGTGGGAGCTGTCTTGTCAAAGTTGGTTTCGTCGCTGACGTCAATGATTGCCTGTGGAGTGGAGTCGCCCCGCTACAGAAGTCAAGTTTCCAAGTCTAGCTCGTTTTATCTTTTCCGCTGCATTTGTAATCTTTTATATTTTCGTAAGACGTGGATCTGTATGTCAACAATTGTCGTTTGTGTACCCTGGCTGGTCCTGGACAGGGGTTTAATACACATTCAGCTTAGAAATTCTGGTTCGTGAATTTCTGGGCGTGACACAGCCCTAGCGCCGTCCCCATGCGAGAGCAGAGTGCTGGCTTGTTTGGTAACTCGAGGGAAGGGGATTGGGAGTTTACACGAGGGAATTGATGATGAGATTAAGATGGGAATTTGATTTTTAATCCCAATATCTTGTTTGGTAGAGGTGATGGAAATTGATAGGGAATTTAGTTGGAGATTAGGTCATTAATAAAAACGGATGGCTGAGATTTGCTTAAACAAAGTAAAGGAGGAATTCCCTCCCAATTACCTGCCCCTACCCAGGTATTGAAAAGGATGGAGTTCCTTCCTCAATTCCCCATCCTCATCCCACCAAAATTTTCATGTCTCCCAACTAAACAAAACTATTAATAGCCTCATCCCTCTAAACTCCCAATCTCTCCTAAAAACTCCCTCCAACCAAACGGGCCAAGGAAGGAGAGAAACAGAGAAAGAGGAGGGGAAAAGAGAGTAGGGTGCTGACGTGGACACCCTGACGTGTGGGTCTCACGTGGGTCTCACGCTGAGTCAGCTGTCGCGTTGGATAAAACTGGAATCAAAACCGCCAAAGGACCAAATTTGCATTGGTTTTGTAAGTTTAGGGATGCGTTGTATCCGGTTTTGCGGTTGGGGGACGATTTTGTAATTCGATGACAAGTTGAGGGACCTTCGGTGTACTTTTTCCTTTTTTTTACTTTGAGTTGAGACTACTATACTGAACGGGCTGCAGTGAATTCCCAGACAGGCAGGCCAGCGGCCAGCCCATCCAGCTGGCCAAGTCTTCGTCGTCGTCCTCCTCAATCACATATTGGAGACAGCGACGCGCCCATCTGATTTAGACGGGAGGACGCCGGCCGCCTGACTTCCTCCCTCCGAGACTCCTTCGCGGCGAAGGCTTTACAGAGCTGCAGGCAGCTCATGCCGTTATAATCCCCCTCGCGACTCGCGAGCCAAGTGAGACCAACCCCCAACTCGACGATGACCATGGAGGCGGAGCGCGACGGCGAGGAGCAGCGCCGCCCCCTCCTCTCCTCCTCCTCTCCGCCGCCACCGTCGCCAGGTAGGCGTACTGCCACCGCCTTCGCCGTCCGCCCTCGTTCTCTCCCCGATCCCCCATTTCAGGCTCCGTCTCGTGATCGTCTCACCCTGCCTGCCTCGTTTCGTCGAATTCCGTTCCCTGCAGCGGCGGAACATCAGCATCAGCACCAGCAGCAGTACCAGTACCTGGGCCGCAGCAGCTCGTCGGCGCTGCGCGGCGGCGGTGGCGGAGGAGGAGGAGGAGCGGGCTGGGGCGTGGGGCCGGAGGTCAGCGCCGCGGAGGTCAGGTCCGCCGCGTCGATCTCCTCCGCCAGCTACTACCCACCGCCGCCGGCTCTCCACCACGACGTCTACCCGCCGGACATCCACTCCCCGTCCCCATCGCCAGCTGCCCCTACTGCTCCGCACCCTCACGGTGATTCCGCATCGCCTCTTCTTCTTCTTCTTCTTCTCGTCTCTCTGCATTTCGCATCGCATCAGCTGTGTCCGTGACCCTAACATCAGTTGGTTATACCTTGCAGGAGGATTAGCAATTGTTCCTCAAGGGCCGTACCCGTATGGCGGCGAATACCAGCCTTCTCATGATGGCAGAAGGTGAGCACTTCCAATCGAAATCGGGTATTTGCTGATTAGCTGTTATGATCCTGCTGCCGCAAGATCATATAACTAAAATGGGTAGTATGAAGTGTGAACGTGGTAAGAAATTGGGGACCGAAGACGAACATAAGAGAGAGGCGCTGTGTCCATTAAAACGCGTGAGATATCCACCCTACTTGAATCCCAGTTGCTCCTATATGTCCCCTTCTGAACTTGTTTGCGCCTCCTTTTCCCATGCCAGGTACTTGTAAAGGTTCTTAAGAGTAGCCAGCTAGTTGGCAAGCAGTAGCCAGATTATCTCTCATATTTAGCAAGCGGAATGTGCAATATTTTGATTTGGTGTTGCAGTGGCCAGTTGGATAATATTGCGAAACGATATGTCTGCACAAATGGCACAGTCAGGCCAGAAAGATTTTGACAATTTGCTAGCTAATGTAGTGCCAATTACACATACTCAGATTGTAAGTAGGGCCAATTCAGTCATCTTTCTGATTGTAGCCTGATGCATGCCACCTCCTTTTACCAGTTATTGTTGAATAGGTAGTATTCACATGATGGTCAAATAGTGCAGTGATCTTTCTAGCCTCCAAAATCCAAAATAAATATCTGTTGGGTTGCCTCTTATTGATTTAGCTGATCTTGCCTTCAACTCCATCTACAAACCAATAATTTAACATGAATAATAATGAAGAGATAATGCCCGTGCACACTAATATGAAATTGTTGAATTTTCCTTCGAATAAATTCTCGGAAAAAAAGGGGGGAAAACTTGGAAAATGAGCGAATGAGCAATAAGCACTGGGATGCAAAATACTGTATTTGATAAGATTGACCAGAAATATATTATTTCACTAAAAACCATAAATTCCACTATAAGCATATAGGATTCAACAGAGAAAATACTGGCTGCATCCAAAAGTCAACCTGGAAATAGTTCTCTTGGTGCTTATATAACCTCAGATTCTCAGTACATCAGCGCACAGCTGAAATATTCAAATCACAATTAATCCATATTTCCAAACATTAGTTATACCATTGTGCATTCTGCTCAAGCAGTTAGCTTTCAACAGCACACACATGCCTAATTTAATTTGTGCCAGTATTAAAAAAGTACATGGCAACAGCTAAATTATTGTCTTTGTGACCAACTTATGTAAGCTGATTGATACTTGGTTTGTCCGTTGGCCCCAAATCTCATAAAAATGAAAACACTGTTTGCTCTTGGTCTGTTGTCCTGTGCAAATTTGAAGAGTGGCAAGAAGTGATTTGGGATGGGAATGACTTGGTACTTGTAGTTGAGGGATAATGCATCTTGAAGGAAGAAAGCTCTAGAGACCTAGAATATTTGTTATTGAGCATCGCTTGGGTTGGTTGTAGTGGGGTTGTTTCCTTGACCCCTTCTTTGTACATATATTTGCTTTCTTAATGAAATGAAACAGAGCTCTCCTGTGTTTTCGAGAAAAAAAGACCTAGAATATTTGTAGAAGTACCAGATTGTTAGACAGATAAAAAGAGATTGATGATGTGGAGCATTGGAATAACTAGTTTTGCACTAATATCTATAATGATTCCTCATTTTTCTCTGATGGCAAAAGGAAAGGAACCATAGCTAACCTGCACATTATTTCCCTTTTGTTCCATTTTTTTCCTGCAATGCTTTCTTTCCCAAGATCATACCAATTCTTCACATGGAATGATTGAAATATGCTGACAGGGATGTACTGGATGAGGTAGAGATCCGGCAGCTCCTTATTGATCATGTTGGGCATCGGTGCTGCTGGGGAAGTAGGCCTGCTCGCACATGGAAAATTACCTCTATTGAGGATTGCAATGTATATGTTGGAACTTTGGAAACTTTCATCGAGGAAAGGGACACTGTAACTAACAAGGAACCCTATGATGGTGGGAAAATAGATGGAAGAGACAAGGGTCCTGTGCTTGCAGTGTGGGAACTTGATCTGAGGTCTGAGTTTCCTCTACTGTTTGTACCAGAAAAAGAAGTAATGGTCAAGATCCCTCACTCAGAAGTAATTGAAAAATGCTTAGGTATGGTTTTCATTCTGAAGCACTCATTTAGTCATATAGTTTCTTTTGCCGATTGTGTAATATCTGTACTTCCCAACTACAACTACTGTGTTTCTTGCGGTTGTCCTAGTTCCTATCTATTCTGCAAATATCCTTCTAAGCGTCAGCTAAAGTTCTGAAATATATTTTTCGTCCCATCGTATATCATCACCTTAATTCTTTTCGTTTATGTTGTTATGATGTTATATAGGAATCGATATGTGCACTTATTTGGGTTTTTTAACACACATCATTTTTCTTAGAACACGCAAGAGATATGCGTATCATTTCATTAAGATAGAGGGAAAAAGGTGGACGGCGTTAGAGATAAACTCTGGCACCTACCCACCCAGGAATTGCAACACTGACACTACACACTTGAACTCACCAAAACAGGAGAAAAGATAATAGGAGATAGTTTTTTTTTAAAAGATGCAAGAGATCTGTGTATCATTTCATTAAGCAAGAAAGAAACACGAGGAGGGGGCAGAAAACCCCAACCTTGCAAATAAACAAGTCTTACAATTACAAAGACTCGGAATGACCTTTGGCTTTCTTAAAATTATTTGTAGTTGGACTCCTTAAATATATTTTTCTTATCAAACACTTCTGGCTTCTTCCTTTATACTATAATTGTCCTATCAGTATGATGGTATATATGTTTTGCACGGCACATATCATAATTTATTCATCATTGTTTTTTCTATTTTGAATATTCTAGTTTCTGATCTAAATTTTCTCCTAGATTGCGAGAGTCGTGGAGAGATACCATGTCCTATTTGCAATGCTGGTCAGGAGCACGGATTTTACAAGGCAAATCAGATGACCCGTTGCAGTGCATGTCATGGGAGGGGTTTACTTGCTCACCAAGATGGATCTGATACAGTGTTAGTCCTGCACTTCTGCTGCTAACTTTGTTTTTTAGTTCTACATCTCGCCGTTTACATTAGTGTCATTATCTAAAAAAATAGTTCACATTTGCACCTAATTTAAAGGCCACTAAAGAAGCACATCACCACATTAATCACCTAATTTTGGTTGCCTGTTCAATTTGAGTTGGTAAAATTGTGTACATGTTAAGGCAGTATTGTTGCATTTGTTCTTTGGTCCACTAGATATTTATTTGTATTTACATGTCAATGGTTGCTATTTTATTTAAGTTTTTAATTCATGCCTGATTAGATAGAAAATAGTACTCTAAAATTTGAAAAATGCTTTCCTATTATTGAGATATTTTACATCTACTGGTAAAAGTATGCCACTTCTGTTGAAAATGCTCACTTTGTGCGTATCTTTATTTGTAACAGATGTGGAATGTGCAGTGGTAAAGGAATGTTGCCTTGTATAGCATGTGGATCGCGTGGCCTAGTAACATGCAAGACATGTAGTGGCTATGGTTCCCTTCTCGCAAAAAGCACTGCTCATGTTCGATGGTAATTTGATTCTTTTTCTGCTGTTGCTGTTTTAGTGTTTACGTTGAGACGATGTATAGTAACAAGAAAATAAAATCAAAATATGTGATGGCTGAAAGGAACTTATAATTGCTACAATGCTTTATATCATGATAATATTGGTTTAATAGTTCAGTAATCCTGCAAATGTGGTAAAAAAAAGCGTAGTGGAGAATTTGTTGTTGTAGATCTTGTGAATTGATGCTTTAATTGTGAGTTTGGCCTATCATATTAGTTTCATTGTTTTAGAGAGAGTCCTAGCATATTAGTTGATTCATACAAAATACCTCGGTGATGTTCAGGGAACTTATTTATTAATGTTTCATTTGCTGGATGCTTTACAGTCGCATCTCCTAAAGCTATCAGTGTATCTGTAACTTATGCATGGCATAGTAGAAAAAGGCGTTTCTCCATGATTTGCCATCAACCAAGCAAAGCAATTTGTACACTTATAACGTGATGATATGCACATTATGGTTTGAAGGAACGCCTCTATGATTTCTACAGGAAATTTCTTTTATGCTTTTTATTCATGTTTTGGAGAAAATACTTTACGTTTTTTTTTTCAATAATTACGTAATGCGTTGATCTAACTTGAAATTTTCCTGTTTCTAGGAAGACACTGTCAGCAAGAAAAGTGAGCGCAACTAGGGGAGCTGCCTCTGTGCCTGACGAAGTATTCCACAGAGCCCAGGGGATTCAGCTATGCAACATACAGGCGTACCAGTGCACTCCTGCATTCTTCGCCGATTCGTACCAGCTCAACCAGTTCTCCTCAGAAGTCGTAGCTAGCCGGCTTCCAGTTCCACCGTCCGCGAGGGTCATTTCCGAGAGGCACATCATCTCCGTCGTGCCTGTGATCCGTGTCACAATGGCTCATCGCAAGCAATGTTTCAGCTTCTACGTCGTCGGCTACAATAGGGATGTTTTCATAAGAGATTATCCTTCGAAATTCTGCTGGGGCCTCTGCTGTTGCTTTGAGTGGCTGCGGAACTAGTTATTTCTTGCCATGTGACAAAAATCGAGTGTGCAGTATTTTATAGTATTACATACGGAGTAAGGCTTGTGTATAATTATAGCAAAACCGAAGATTAAAGAGGGTTGAATGAATAAGCATAACCCTGTGTGTTATGCATTTTTTACATTACAGAAGCTGTATCCTCGTATTCTATTACTAGGGCTTCGTCCATGTAGATCATATCTGTAACAACTGCTCGGGCATGAATCAAATCAGTTGTGAAGACTTTCCCTTAGACAATTGTGTCGGTGTTTTAATTCTGGCATTGAAATTTTCAGATGAAATTTTAAAATAATTTGCTGAAAGCATAAAAAGAAACGTACGTGCAAATCAATTTTAAATATAAACATTTTGATTTTTTTTATCACACCATAGCGGCGACGCGGCGTGAGTCTAAACTCCAAACCCATGCCACGGACGGCACAATTCTTTCAAGATGCGTAAAGTACTAAAGTGTGAGGCTTAGAAACAGGTTATGGTATTCTTTATTTTTAAATCATTTTTAGAGAAATGGTTCAAAGATTAGAGACGATCAGAATTTCATATTGGATTTTGGACAGTTTCAATCCCTAATGCCAAATTGAGGACAGTTTCAACGGCTTTTATAAATTAACGCCCTGTCCTCCTTGAACGCCTCCTTTCTCCTCTCATTTGCAATAAAGCCAAATAACCCAAAAGCGATCAAAGAATCCATTGCGATTTTGCGACATCGTGAACCGGGAATGACGACGAAGAAGAAGCCGCTGTCGTCGTCGCCGTCCACCTCCGCCGTGGCGAAGCTTCTCCTGCGGTGGCGCGGCCGGAGCAAGGCGGCCAAGGACGAGAGCATCGAGTTCTTCTCCGAGCTACGGAGCAGCCAGCCCGATCGCCGCGGCGCCGCCTCCGATCACGCCGGTGAGAAATTGAGATTGTCCGCTCCTCAATCCCTCCTCGTTCTTGCTGAGAACGAGGAAATTTCTGCAATGCAGGGGGAGGAGGAGCTCCGGATGGGAGGGGAAAGGCAAAGAGCTCCGCCCCCGCTGCCGCCGGTGGAGACGCCGGCGGCGGCGGCAAGCTCTTGTCGACGGGAACCGAGAAGCATGACTACGATTGGTACGGATGAATCGGTGGTGCATTGACCCCGAAATGTAGATGAAAAATTGTCTTACGTTTTTCTTTTACCGAATTGCGTTGGCAGGCTTCTGACACCTCCGGCGTCGCCACTCTGGTCGCCGGCGACGAGCGCCGCCGCAGGCCACCATGTCTCCGCCGCGCCGCCGCCGAGCCGGCTGGAAAGAGCTAGCTCGGCGCCATACGCGAAAGGGAATTCACGGGTATGTGCATGCGCTCTCGCCCTACCCGATCAAAATTTTCACCTCTTGCAATTGCAAATTGTTGTTTGATCCCCCATTTCTCCCCCTTGCGATTGCGAAGCAGCTGCCATTGACACGGCGGGAGAACGGGCCCCCGGCGTCGAGGCTGTCGAGGAGCAGCTCCGCGACGTCGCAACTCTCCACCGTCGCCCACGCGCCGGGCACCGTGTTCTCCGGCCGCCGGACATTGTCGTCGGCGTCGGTGTCGTCGATCAACACGGCGAGCAGCACGTCCGTGGGCTCGACGCCGCGGGGGTCGTCGGCGTCGACGAGCCCACGCACGCCGGCCACCGCAAGGGGCGCGCCGGCCGGGGCGGCTTGGCCCCGTCACAGGGACAGAACACAAGCACTGCACGTGTTCGGCGCCGCCGCCGCCGCCGGCCAACCCAGCGCGTCGTCGCTGGTGTCCAGGTCGAGACCCTCGCTGACGGCGCCGTCGAGCGGAGCGCTCCAGCGCGCGACGCCCGGCGCCGCCGGCACGTCGAGCCCGAGGTCAACCGCCCCGGCGTGTCAGCAACCTGCAGCGACCAGACGTGGCGCCAACTCCGTGGCACGTTCGGGGTCAACGCCACGGGCCGCGTCGCCCTCGCCGCGAGCGCGTGACGTCAGCATTGCGGCGGGCGCGTCCCGTGTCGCGCCGCCGCCCATGTCCAGCAGCAAGCCGAGGCAGGCGCCGGCGTCGGGGAAGCAAAGCAACGGCAACGGCATGGCGGCGGCGAGCACGGCAGCCCAGAGGTGGCGCTCGGCCGGGAGGAACGCACGGAGGGAGGAGGCGGTCACCCATGAATCATCAAGAAACAGCGACAGTCGCCGGAAGATCGACGTAGCGAACACCAGCGCCGCCGCTCGCCGCACTGCTGACCTCTCTAGCCCGCGCGGCGCGAGCGGCGGTTCTCCGACGAGCGGCGGCGGCGGTCGGAACAAGTCGACAGACACCGACGCGAAGCGCAGCCTATGGCAGGGAGCAGCGGCACGGCACCTGATGGCGGCGGCGCGCCGGGACGCAACCCCCACCACCCGCCGGAGCGGTGGCCTCTCGTCGGTGGCGTCAAGAAGCCGCCTGGGGATCACGCCCGCCGCCTCCTCCGGTGACATCTCGGCCACGCCCACTGGACGACGGTCCACGCCGGCGAAAGGCAGGCCCGCCGCCGACGCGGCCGCGGCCGCATCCTCCCCGCGGGTGGCCGCGGGGGACGCGTTCCCGAGCTCGCGGTACGACGCCATGCTGCTCCGGGAGGACCCCAGGAACCTGACATGGCTGCACGGATGCGACGACGGCGAGGAGATCGACGGTGGAGATCTGGTCGAGGCCTCGCTGGAGTCGTTCGACGTGCCGGCCGGGTTGAGCAGCACGGGGCTGCACGGCGGCAAGACTTTGAATTTTGGCGCCAATTTGTAAAGGCAGCCACGTGATTTAGGAGGACACTACGTATTTCCGTATGTATGTACTGCAAACTATTTGTACATGGACTTCTTTTTCTCCCATTTGAGGAGCACGAATTATTTCTGCGTTGTGGGATGCATCAAGGATTCTTTTACGCTGATTGAGGCTGATTTTTTCCGATAGCACGTTTTTCAAACCGTTAAACGACGTGCTTTTAAAACCTTTTATATAAAAGTTCTTTAAATAATTTTAAAAAACTTATTATTTTATCAAGTGTACCATAATTAATACTTCCTCCGTACTCGTAAAGGAAGTCGTTTAGGACAGTGATACAGTCTTCAAAACACAACTTTGACTTCTTGTTTTTATAAAAATATTTATTAAAAAATGATATAGGTATACTTTTATGAAAATATTTTTCAAGAAAAATCTATTCATATAATTTTTATATTTTCAAACTCAACAACTTGAGAGTTATTCACAATTTATATTCCCAAGGTTTGACTTAAACATTGTCCTAAACGACTTCCTTTACGAGTATGGAGTATTCAACTAATCGTACACTAATGGCTTATCTCATTTTACGTGTAATGAACTTATCACCTTCAATTGCCCAAACAGACGTACTCCCTCCATACTCGTAAAAAAGTTGTTTAGGATAATGTTTAAGTCAAACCGGACAATGTTTAAGTCAAACCTTGGAAATATAAATTATAAATAACTCTCAAGTTATTGAGTTTGAAAAGGTAAAAATTATATGAATAGATTTGTCTTGAAAAATACTTTCATAAAAATATACATATATCACTTTTAAATAAATATTTTTATAGAAACAAGAAGTTAAAGTTGTGTTTTGGAGACCGTGTCGTTGTTCTAAACGATTTCCTTTACAAGTACGGAGGGAGTAGCTGAGAATAGGTGACCACGCTGGAGCTTGTCCCAATTTAGATATACTCCATGTCTCTATCTCAAAATTGAAGTATTTCTAGCTTGTTTCATAAAAAAATATGGTCAAATTCTAAATTAGTTAGATTCCCTCGTAAGCATCATATTGACTGAAAATATGGCTGTGTTTAGTTACTTGGCCAAAATTTTTTAAAGTATACGGACATACGATTTGAAGTATTAAATATAGTCTAATGATAAAACGAATTACAGATTTCGTCAGTAAATTGCGAGACAAATTTATTAAGCCTAATTAATCCGTCATTAGCAATGTTTGCTGTAGCATCACATTGTCAAATCATGGCGTAATTAGACTCAAAAGATTCGTCTGAAAATTTACATGTAAATTGTGCAATTGATTTTGAGTTTCGCTAAAATACTGTCGCCACATTTTTTGCTTGTTTACAGTCGATACAATGATGCAAGACGTTAGCAACTATAAAAATATGGTGACAAATTTTTAGGTAAAAATACGTCAAATAAAATTTACACAGTAGTTATACCCCACTTATACACCACTTACATATGTAAATTAGTATGTAATTTTGGGACTTACATATGTAATTTTAGGACTTACATATGTAATTTTGGGACTTACATTGAAAATACACTAAAAATACATATGTAATTTAGGGACTTACAATGTAAATACATGCCGACTATTTTTTGGTAAAAAATATGGCGCCATAAATATAGCTACTCCTATGATTTTTTGGGTCCACATTTAATGCTCTATACATATATCCAAACATTCGATGGGATGGTTTTGAAAAAAAAATAAATCTAAACACGGCCTATATGGATTTTTGTGCATTGAAATCTATCAAGTAGACTCATCGGAGACGAGACGGTGTCTCTCTCTACGTAGATAGGACCTCGCGTAAACAGTTCGGATAGTTTCAAACCGATTTTGATAATCTTTGGAAATGACCATGTCAGTTCAGATGATAACTCAATTCGGAAATGAATTATTTTTTTTATTCGGATGATACCTCAATTTGAAAATCTTTATCTATTATAAAAATTGAAGATGATTCCGTACTCGAAGAGCTCTTCGTCTGTTGTCCCCGTAATCCGGATCGATTCCGTATTTCCGTTATTTACAGCGACGATTGATCTTTTCTTACGTGCTACATATACTCCATCTCAAAATTGAAGTATTTCTAGTTTGTTCAATTAATAATTTATTAATAGAATTCATTTTATTCTTTATTTGGAATTTTAATTAATTTCGTGTTGTGTTTTTATGGTCTCTTCTTTCAATATTCCTATGTTTCATTTATATTTTCAGATATTTCTAAATTATATTTCTACTTAATAATATAATAGAGCTTATTTTTTTATTTAGAATTTTTATTAATCTTGTATTATGTTGCAGATGGTCCCTTCTTTTAATGTTTCTTTCTCTTCTTCTTCCGAATTTCAGTTATTTTAAAATTGTATTTGTACTTGAACTCTCATTTTTCTTTTTATAATTTTGGAAATTGTTTTATTTTTATTTTAAATTTTAATTAGTTTCTTTCAATATTTTTGAAATACTAGTTATATCTAAATTGTATTTCTAGTTATCGAAATTGTTATTATGTATTTCTATTATTTATAAATTATATTTCTACATGCTCTTTAGTTTCTATTTCTATAATTTCAGAATTTATTTTTTTATTCTAATTTTAATTAAATCTAGTGGTGTGTTGTGAATGGTCTCTTCTTTCATTTTTTTTATCTTTTATTCCGAATTTTACTTATTTCTTAATAGTATTCCTACTTGAACCTTTTTTTTCTAATTTCATAATTTATTATAAATTTTAATTAATCTCGTGGTATGTTGTGGATGAACTTTTATGTTAATATTTCTTCATTTTTATTCTGAATTTTAGTTATTCTCAATTGTATTTTTATGTGAACTCTATTTTTTTAAACTAATGTGGGGTATTTTAATCTTTGTAGCGAATGTGGTGCTTTATTTTAATATTATCTTAATAATATAATAGATTGGAGTATCCGTACGTAAAGGTACTATAATATACTCCTTCCGTCCTAAAATATAATAACTTTTAGCTCTCAAGATATGTCCCAAAATATAACAACTTATTCACCAACATTTTCTTCTCAACCAATCCCAGCCCTTCACCATTCACTTTTCTCACATACATCCATTACTCATCCAATCACCCTTTACCATTCACTTCTACTTGCTTTCTTAATAACCGTGTCCAACTCTAAAACTTCTTTTATCTTGGGACGGATGAAGTATTTTCAAGGGCGTGATCCAAGAGGTAGTGATCTACAGTATTTATATGTATGTAGACACGGTTGCTAAAATTAGAAGGCAATTTAATATTTTTTGTTGATATAAATAAAGGACTAGCAATATCTCTTTATTGAGTCTTAATCGGTTTTCATGTTCTGATAAATGCTCGTGAGATATATATCGTTCCAGTTCATTTTAGCTCGTGTATTCCTTTCATGTCCAGAGTATTCCTTTCCGTTTCGATAATAATAGAGAAAATTATGAAAATAAATGTGATTAAGCCAGTTTTCGTCCTTATTCGAATTGTTTGACACTTTGACTCTATGATAAATTGATAATACTATCTTGTATTTTGCTCGGATATGGATATATACATTCTAGTTGTGTAAATATCTGGATATGGATACATTTTAATTGTGTAAATATCTGGCAACTATTGACCGGCTAAGGCCTTGTTCGGTTACGCCCTGATTTAATCCGGACCGGGAATAACAAGTACAGTAAGAAATTTATGTAGATACAATGTGTCGGTGATATGGGTCCGGGAGTATCATGTTTAGAGGGATAAGGCCGCCCCCAAACCCACGTGGCGTCCCCTGAGGAGGGCGGCGCTCCGATGGAGCGGCGGCCGCCAAATCCAAGCTTAGGGTATCGAGTTTGGAGGAAGGAGGCTGCCCCCAGACCCACGTGGCACTTCCCCGAGGGGGTGGCGCCCGGGGTGGAGTGGCGGCTGCCCCCTCCTCGCTCGGGGGTTGGGCCCGTCCCGATCAAGACTAGAGGGAGGAGGCTGCCCCAGGCACCACGTGGCCCTCCCCCCAGGAGGGATCGGGCCCGAGGTAGGGTGGTGGCCGCCCCCTCCTGCGACTAGGGGTCGGGCTCCTCCGACCCCCTCTCTAGGTCACCACGTGCGGTGGATTAGGCAGCCGCCTCCAGGCGCCCACCTACCCGCATTTATGGCGTCCTGAGCGGTGGCGCCACGCCGCATTTAATGTGATGTGCAGTGCACTCAACCGATCTATGATCGGTCCGTGACCAGTCGAATGACCGATAGGACAGTGGCTGTGTACCCCCACCCTGTCAGTATGCTAGGCGGCGTGCGGCGTGCTCTGCCCCGTCACATCATAATGAGAGGCTTTTTAGTCTCTCATCATAGCCGGAGTCAGTTTATCCGCTCTAGTCAAACAGGAGCCCAGAAGTCTTCGTCCCTTAAATGGCGACTGATAGGGGCACCCCCATGTCAGGCGGCAAGATTTGATGGGCCCCATCATCAAGATGACGTGCGCTGAGACAAGATATGCATTTAATGCAAAGATTGTAATACTTCTCCACTAAGTTAGGTTGTTGGGCCTATGTGGTAACCCCTTAAGGTATAAAAGGAGTTCCATGCCTACTTGCGGAAGGGGACGAGCCATTTTAATCTCTAGAGCAGCTTCTGCCGCTCATGAGGAATATCTTTGGCTCCAACAAGGAGATCTTGCAATTTCTCCCACAATCAACATAGCACAGGAGTAGGGTATTACGCTTCTCAGCGACCCGAGCCTGTATAAACCCCTTTTGTCTAATCGTCTTGGAGGGGCTAACCCCCTCAAGATCGCACAGTTTCGCTCACCAAGTCCTCGAATCTCACCCGCTGCCCCCAGCCGAACCAAAAAACAAAAGGGGGTCTCACGGTTCCCTGGTGGAGGAGTTCACCTTCCGACATCTGGTGCGCCAGGTAGGGGGCGTGTTCGTGATTTTTGAGGTACTTTCGAGCGCCGGCGTGATGATCGTCGCGCCGCCAATGCGGGGGAAGGCGTAGCCTCCTCAGGAGAACCGCGCCACCCCAGGCAGGGGGCTAGGCCCCTACATCCTCACTGGAAAAGGATAACGGACAGACCTTTGTGGCGAGTCTTCGGAATGTCCGATGGCCCCCAAAGTTCGGGC